AGAAGAAGAAGAAGAAGAAGAAGAAGAAGAAGAAGAAGAAGAAGAAGGAGAAGAAGAAGAAGAAGAAGAAGAAGAAGAATTTATTGATCTACTCATGTAATTTTTTTGTATGGCCCAACCTTTCAACTTTGGTTGAGAATGTACAAAATGTATTCCCTTTTTTTACTTCTCTGCAGCTTATTCCCTGAAAAGATCCAATAATCTCTGATGAAATTCTGACATTAGATAAAATATGTTTTACTTCAATAATTGTAGGAATTTGAATGGTTAGGAATCAAGCTGGTTGTTTTTTTCAGCTGCTATTCTTTATGTCTTTAAGAAAGACTTTTCATTGCAAATCCCATACAACAGAAAGTTGGGATGCAAGCATTTGTAAAAATTTTGAAATAACAGACCATAAATAAATACAGCTGCCCACAATCATCTCATGGGGGAAATGGGTGGCATAAAAAATATAATAAATAAATATAAATAAATAAATAAAACAGATTTTCCAAATTTTACAATTTCTATTGGAAATGAATTGCTACAGTAATAATCTTACTTATGCAGGCAGTCCTCAACAGCCATTCATTTAGTGACAATTCAAAGATGCAACAGCCATGAAAAAAGTGACTTAGGACTGATCCTTGTACTTACGACCATTATAACACATCCATAGTCTCATGAGCAAAATTTGTGTGGTTGGCAACTGGCATGTATTTACGACAGTTGCACTGTCCCAGGGTCATGTGATCATCAGTTAAGAGCCCGGTGGCCCATTAAGAGCCAAGGTGGCACAGTGGTTAGAGTGCAGAACTGCAGGCTCCTTCTGACTGCAATTTGGCAGTCCAAATCTCACCAGGCTCAAGGTTAACTCAGCCCTTCCATCCTTCTGAAGTCAGTAAAATAAGGACCCAGATTGTTGGGGGCAAGAAGCTGACTCTGTAAACCACTTAGAGCAGGGGTCGCCAACCTTTTGGACCTCAGGGACCACCAAACTCATCATTTTAAATCCCGTGGACCACTAATATGAATTGTGACTGACGGTGGCTTGCTGACGTTGGTGGGAAAGTCAGTCCCATATTCCAAAGCTGCAGTGGTCACAGGACTGGCCCTTTGGTCATCCTGGAGCAACTGCTCCTCCAGTCCACGGCAGGCCAGTGCACCCAAGTGGAGGAACAGCTGCTCTGGGATGACCAAAGGGCCAGTCCTGTGACTACTGCAGCTCTGGGATATGGAACCAACTTTCTCACCAACATCAGCAAGCCACACTGGGGTGGATTTCCCTTCCCCGCCGTTGGTCTTACCTTCCAGTTCTAGCTCGCATGGCTCTACTCAAAGTAAGGTTTGCGCTCGGCCAAAAAGGGTGGGGGCCAGTGGGTGGGTGGGTAATGTGAGCAGCACAGTCTTGTGTTCCCGCACAGCCTGGATTAATTGCTTTGGGGGGGACATTTCTCTGCGGACCACCAAAATTTTCTCACGGACCGCCAGTGGTCCCCGGCTCACTGGTTGGCGACCACTGGCTTAGAGAGGCCTGGAAAGCACTGTGAAGCGGTACATAAGTCTAAGTGCTATTGCTATTTATTATCTTCCCAGTCAGCTTCCGACTAGCTAAGTCCGTGGGGGAAACTGGATTCACTTAAAGATTGCATGGTTCACTTAACAATGATGGCAAAAAAGGTCATGTATCGGGCAGGGACTCACTTAACCATCACCTTGCTTATCCACAAAAGTTCTGCAAAAGAAAGCTTGTACCTTCAAGAACACTGGTGATAATGCTGACCGCACTCGCTGCCCGTTGTCTCTGAAGTGGCTGGTTATAATAATCAACTGACAGTCGGTGAGCTTGGACCATCTTGTTAGCTTCATCATACAAAGACATCTACATAGAGATACAAAACAATTGATTTAGTTGTAAATATTCCTGCTCTTTGGACACAGATAGGACCATTTATACCGTCAGGCAAGTCAAAGGATTCTTGAAACTGAAATGTGAGTTCCATACAGGTAGTCCTCGATTTACAACTGGTCGTTTAGCAACTCTTTGAAGTTACAATGAACCTCCCAAGCATTGGTGGGAATCAAAAATTTTTTACTACCGGTTCTGTGGGCATGGCTTGGTGGGCATGGCAGGGAAGGATACTGTAAGACAGAGGTCTCATTCTCGTGGCCCGCGGGCCAATTGCGGCCCACAGGACGATATCCTGTGGCCCCCACCGTGATATGAAAGTATAATATTAGTGCGTTCTCCATGCGTCGCTAGCTGGCTAAACACTTCTATGTGCGGCCCAGCCTCACCCAGACTCTGCCTCCAGCGGCCCCCAGGTAAATTGTGTTTGAGACCCCTGCTGTAAGATCTCCATTCCCTCCCCACTCCTGGGGGAAGGCTACTGCTGGTTCTCCCAACTACTCAAAATTTCCACTCCCGGTTTTCCAGAACTGGTCAGAACCGGCTGAATACCACCTCTGCTCCCAAGCTTACTTATGTCCCAAAGTTCCGATGGAGACATGTTTGCGTGTGCACCCACCCACATACACACACCCATGCACCACAGTCACATAATGGCATTTCTGGTACACAGCAAATGGTTCGACTTTTCAGCCATTTCTGGATAAAAAAGAAGCTATAGAACATATTGACTCGCTTGACCTTGTGTTCCTTTCTGTGTTCCTTTTCAAATTGATAAGAAATTATAGCTAGTTCCGAAGAAGTGGATAGTAAATACAATAAGCATCCTTAATTTAACCCCAATTCTGTATTTTGTTTTTTTGCTCTGTTGCATGCCACCCAGAATCTGTAGAGCAGGAGGTGTTATAAGAACTGTGGTATTCATAAACAGATAAGGAAATAAGGGTGTTAGGACATTGCAGTATTATATTATTATGCAGTATTATGTTACATAATATTATATTTGTCATTACTATTTTCCTTTCAGACCACATTTTACTACTATCTTTTTTAAAGGGTAGTATTCTGTCATAAAATTGTTCAGTGGGTGTCCAAACGAAGTCAGAGAGGCTGACACGAATTTGTAGCTTTATATAAATAAGTATATTTTACATCTATATATGCAGCGAACAAGATAGTCAGGCAAACAGGAGCATCGTGAGGTAAATTGCAGAGCCCGCAGAAGAAAAAAGGCGGGAAAAAGGGTAACGCCCACTCCGCACCCACAGCAACCAATCACAGTGGAGATTGCCTCATGCAGGAGCCCGCCCTCTCCCATCAATCAGCTATAATGGTGTGTTCTGGTTCATTGTACAACTCCATTGTTCCAGCTACTAACTTTAAATCTCTTAACACATTCCAACAAAAGTAGCCAAAAATCCAAAGAAATCCCGTCATCCTTTTTCAGACTTTTATTTAAAAGACAGATGTTTTTGTGAGTTACTGCTCATCTGATGCGCAGATTCAGGCTCCGATGGGGCATGACAGACTATTTGTATGCTATGCAGTACAGTTGATATACGCACACAGATATTACCTCCTTTTATGAAAATATATTAGCCTGTGTTGTCCCAAAGGACCATTGGCCTGTGTTCCCTATTTGGCGTCCTTTAAAAAACATCCCTATCAAATGTATAACAATGTGTACAACTGTAATGTATAACTACATCTGCATCATGAACAGACACAGTCTTCAGAGGATAATTAGGACTGCAGAAAAAAACAGTTACTACTAACCTGCCTTCCATGGAGGACCTATATACTGCACGAGTCAAAAAGAAGGCTGTGAAAATATCTACAGACCCCTCACATCCTGGACATAAACTGTTTCAACTCCCACCCTCAAAACGACGCTATAGAGCACTGCACACCAGAACAACTAGACACAAGGAGAGTTTTCCCTGAACGCCATTCCTCTGCTAAACACATAATTCCCTCAACACTGTCCAACCATTTACAAAGTCTGCATTACTATTACTGTTAATCTTCTCATCACTCCTTATCACCCATCCCCTCCCACTTGTGACTGTATGAACTGTAACTTTGTTGCTTGTAGCCTTGCAATCTATATTGACTATTTCCTAGTATGATTTTTGCTTACGGTACCCTATGACTATCATTAAGTGTTGTACCTTGTGATTCTTGACTCTTGACGAATGTATCTTTTCTTTTTATGTACACTGAGAGCATTTGCACCAAGACAAATTCCTTGTGTGTCCAATTACACTTGGCCAATAAAGAATTTAATTCTATTCTATTCTATTCTATTCTATTCTATTCTATTCTATTCTATTCTATTCTATTCTATTCTATTCTTCATTCCAGTATCTAATCTAATCTATTCTATTCTTATCCCTTATTCTATTCTATTCTATTCTATTTGATTCCATTCCATTCCATTCCATTGCATTCTATTCTATTCGATTCGATTCTGTTCTGTTCTGTTCTGTTCTGTTCTATTCCATTCCATTCCATGCCATTCCATTCCATTCTATTCTATTCTATTTTACTACATTCTATTCTATTCTATTCTATTCTGTTCTGTTCTGTTCTGTTCCGTTCCGTTCCGTTCCGTTCC